CCACTTTCGAACCTACAGTCATCAAAATATAGATGGCTCGAGGTCTGGGGTGTTTTATAGAGGCCTGCCGGGTTCCTCCTGTCATCAAGACAGCTGGAAACTGGGGCCCGGGACTCGCCCATTGACTTATATGGATTGGTTGGATGCCATGCAGTTATTTCTCCGTACTACCGCAGGCCCCCTCAATTCTGGAATTGGTTGATTGCATTAATCAGAATTGGTTTAATAAAGTATGGCCTGTATTTTATCCAAAAGTTATTGTCTTGCGTCTTCATTTCGGGGCCTGGGGGAGCAAGGCTATGAGTCAGGCTTCTTTTTACAGGTAGACACACAATGACTCATTCTGTACATGTTTAGATTTCTAAATAAGATTGCTGTTCCTAATAAAATATAACATTGGAGTTTGACATACCAGTGAAATTTTTCCTCACCTCCAGAGCAGAATTTCTGTGGAAACAAATTAAGGTCATCTTCATGAGCATGCTAGAGAGATGGGGAGGGGGTGGAGACATTCATAGGGAGTATTATTGCTATAACACTTGGGTGAAAAACCTTTTTCTTTGTAAGTGATCTTTTCTTTTGATCTTTAAACAGCCCTGTTCAAAATTAAAGTTATATGGAATTGCCTATTTGTGTAAAATGAAGCAAAACTATTTTCCCTGTGGTCTTCTAGGGACACCTTTTCACCCTTCTTAAGGATACCCAAATAAACAAGAAAAGCTCTCTATTATCATCAGAATTCTATCTGCCATGGTCAAGGAAATCATCCCATAATAATATTCCTAGAAGCATTTCCATGACTGTATGGTCCTGCCTTGTTCTGATTAGTATATGACTTGTGACTGAAAGAAAAAAAAATGGCATGTACATATGAAAAAGAAAATACACCCTTTTTGAATTCTATTCTTTTATGTATTAGGACATAATAAAAATAATCTTATCAGGTCTGAAAATTAGGTAAAAGCAACCTCAGATGAACAACACATGACATATTATACCATGTCATGATTTATTTATAGAGATGGGAGTATTCATATTTATGAATATCCCCCTCACAGGTGCATATAACGAGGTTCCGCCCCCTTGGGGCCAGACTGACCACTCACCATTCTGCCACTGCTGTGGGCTTCGCACGCCCTTCCTATCGCTCTCGAGCTCGCAATGGATTAGCCACTCCTCTACCATGGGGCCAGACTGACCACTCATCATTCTGCTACTGCTATGGGCTTTGCACGCCCTTCCAATTGCTCTTGAGCTCGCAATGGATTAGCCACTCTTCTACCTGGCAGAGAATCTTGTCATCCCACCTTCTGCCAGGAGTGGCTAATCCACCATGATTTCTGGAGCAATAAGAAGGGAGCGCGGAGCCTGCAGCAGTGGCGGAATGGTGAGTGGTCAGTCTGGCCCCATTCACTGTGAAAGAATTTTGGCCCAGTCTTCTTTACAACATTGCTTCAGTTCATTGAGGTTTGCTGGCATTTGTTTATACATAGCTCTCGTTAAGGTCCCCCACAGCATTTCAATTGGGTTGAGATCTGAACTAGACATGGGGGCTTCCTCTTCATATCCTGGGGGATACAAAGACAAAGCTCAACATCAAGGTGCCACAGCTGTCCAATCCCACCCACCCAAAACCAGCCTGGTCCACTCACTGGGCTCCTGCAACATATATGTCCAATGATGGTGACACACCTCTCCCCTTAGTTGACTATTTAGCAGCTGAATGGGGAGACTTATCTTCCTGCCTCCTCGACAGAGCAGTTGGCTGAAAGGAGGGGAGGGGCAGCACCAGCGGGGCTATGTCCACAATTGGCATGATGTTGCCATCGTCAGATGTGCATGCTGCAAGTAGCTGATTGAATGGACCAGGCTGATTCTGAGGGGAAAGAATGGCTTGCCATGGCACCTATGGTGCTGAGCTTCATATTCATATCTTCCAAACTATTAATATGAAGTTCCCATGTCTAGTCTGGACTTTGACTGGGCTGTTGCAATACCTTGATTCTTTTCTTTTTCAAACATTCTGTCATAGATTTCCTCATGTGCTTTGATTCATCGATCCTGTTGCATGACCCAATTTTGGCCAAGTGTTAACTGTCAGACAGGTGGCTTCACATTTGACTCTAGAATATTTTGGTTCACAGAGGAGTTCATGGTCAACTCAATGACTTCAAGGTGCCCAGGTCCTGTGGCTGAAAAACAAGCCCAAATCATCACAGTGCTTGATTTCTGATGATATATACTGTGTTCAGTTTTTGGCAAACATAGTGATGTACATTATGGCCAAGCAACTCCACTTTGGTCTCATTTGTCGAAATGGCATTGTTCCAGAAATCTTGTGGTTTGTCCAGAAACAAATTTGCAAACCTAAGCTGTGCTGCCATGTTCTTTTTAGAGAGAAAAGGCTTTCTTCTGGTAACTCTTCCAAACAAACCATACTTGTTCAGTCTTTTTCTAATTGTACTGTAATGAACTTCAAAATTTAATATGCTAAATGAGGCCTGCAGAGTCAAAAATGTAACTCCTGGGGTTTTTTGTTTGTTTGTTTGTTCACAATTTCTCTGAGCATTGCACAGTTTGAGCTTGGGGGGAATTTGCTCGGACGTTCACTCCTGGGAAGACTGACAACTGTCTTGAATGTTTTCCATTTGAGAATAATCTTCCTTACTGTAGAATGATGAACTTTAAATTGTTTGGAAATGGCCTAACCCTTCCCAGATTGATGGGCAGGAACAATTGCTTCTCTACAATTGTTGCTAATGTGTTTTCTCCTTGGCATCATGCATTAGCAGCAAACTGCTAAAAAGTCAACTTTTATAAAGGTGATCATACTTCCTGATGATCAATTACTCAAGGGCATTTGGTTAGCAACACCTGGCTGCTACTTAGCCTCTTAATTCCTATGGAAGCAATAAGGGTGCCTTTAGTTCTTCACATATGGCTTCTCCATTTTGGCTTTTTTTGTTACAGAAACCATGACATGGTGTAATATGTCATGTGTTTTTGTTTATCTGAGGTTGTATTTACCTAATTTTCAGACCTGATAAGGACCAGATGATTTTTATTATGTCCTGGGACATAAAACCATAGAAGTCAAAGAAGGTATACTTTCTTTTTCATATGACTGTACATGGACAAATTTGCAAACATTGATTCAATTAGGGTATTGTACAATTCCTAGATTGCCAGAGAAAAGAACAACACCACAATGGATCCTTTGAATCCCATGCAACACTAATAGGATTTTTTTTAATGGCCAACAATTTGACTTAGGAAAGGGAAAATCAAAAGTAGTAATATAGACTGAGCTGCTGGTGCCAAAGGGGAAGGCAATTGAAAGCTGAGCTGACAGAACCCTGACTGGAAAAAAAAAGGTGGGGGAAAGGAATCTGAGGTAGAGAGGAAACAATTGAAAGCTACTGAATTGACTGTCATTTGACCTCAGTCCAGAAAAGTCCCTCCCAGCTAAAAGGCATCATATGTACGTTGCAATATATCCAACAGGTATTTGTTCAAATGTAGCTAGTGCTAATAGAACCTTCAGCCATTGTGTATGCATCAGATAGTGGATGGTTATCTTTCAAGGCTTGGTGTGTAAGTCTCTTAGCCACCATAAGGGCTGATAAAATCCAGTTTCATTACCCATTTGTTAGATCTCATAGGTCTGGGATATAATTTAAGAGAACATGAATTATTGCTGCACTTGAGAATTCTGGGCAATATTTTAAGGAAAGACCTTAGCTGTAGCATATTATCAAACAGTGGAAGTTCGATGTTTTTGCACAATCCCTACCTCCTTTGTCCATTTTAATCTATCAGCTGAGCAGGCAAGGTGCTATATGAATGAGCCTTCTACAAAGCCCCAATTCATGCCTGTCTCCATTAGAAGAACTTTGTGTAGTCATTCTTCAGTCTCGAGAGACTATGGTAACGTCCTCTGTATGCAGGACTTGGAGCATCTAGTGTGGCTGAGAAGGCCAATTCAAGAGTGACAGTCCCTTCCACACTGAAGACAAATACAATCCGTTCCCTGTCCAGCTCCCTGATTTTGCTGCTTTCAGGACTGCCTCTTCACCTCGGCCTGCTGGACAAGGGTCTCTTCAAATTGGGAGAGACCATGATGCACCACTTGCCTCCAGGCTGAACACTCAGATGTCATTCCTAAGGCCTTCAGATCCTGCTTGCAGATATCCTTCTATCACAGGATGTGATAGAAGGTCTTCCTCTGGGGTGATTTCCCTGCATTAATTCTCCATACAGGGGATCTTTTGGAATCCGACCATCAGCCATTCTCACAACATGCCCAAGCCAACATAGACATCACTGTTTCAGTCATATGTATATGCTAAAAATTCCAGATCGTTCTACACTTACTCTGTTTGGAACTTTGTCAAGCCAGGTGATACCAAAAATGCATCAGAGACAACACATATTGAACATGTTCAGCTTCCTCTCCTGCTGTGCACAAAGGGTCCAGGACTCACTACAGTACAGGAGTGTGCTCAGGAGAAGAACCTCTCCTGAGAAGAACAGGTCACCCTTATTGTTGCAGTGGGAGAGTGCTGAGCACATGTAAACACATTGTTTGGTCACAAGCCTCATGCTGAGTTAACGACAGTTTTTGTTTGCATTTTTTGGACATTCTGAGCTTGCTTGAGGCATAACGTCCACTGCTGTTTCTGCACAGCTCGGATTGAAGAAAGGTCCCCCACCTCCAAAGGTGCACCCAGCATTTTGAATCTCAAACCCAGCATAGACGTTTGCTCGCCTTCCAGGTGGGCATAGAATATTTTATAATTCCAGCTGGGTATTGAGTAGTATACTGTGCAGTAATTGCAGTGTTAATCAATATTAATGAAGTAGCACAGTCTCCAATATTCATCTTCATTATTTACATCTGAGGCAAGCCTGCAGTCTTCTAGAAATAACAGTGCAACATACCATCACATGTATTAAAACAGACAAGAGAGAATCAGACCTCAGGTGCTCAGTCTGTATACCTTAAACAAAACTGACTGTTGTAGAGTTTGTTGAATGCACTCTTTTCTGTCCCTCCATTCCTTGAAATACTGGGCCACTAAAAGTAAAAAGAAACAAAAACCTTATTTAGCAGCAACAAAGTCCATATAACACTCAATGTTAACATGTAAATATGACTGTAGGCACGATTATAAAGATATTTTTTTTAACCAACAACTACCTATTCCCAGTTACATTACTTTTCAAACGTAATATCATTACTAAGAAAAGCACTGGGTTCATACATTACTTACAATTAGAGATAGGAATCCCTGGGGATACGGACATGAATATCAGTGCTACAAGTGCCTGGGGAAACTTGACCCACCACCCAGAACTGGCCAATCTACTTATCGCTTGCCACATGGTGCACACAGCTGTCGTCATTTGTGTTGCCAGTCAAGGAAGTAGCCCAGCAAGCACTTGCCTGCCTCCCTGCACAGCTGACCACACTGGTGAAGGGATAGGATGATGAGTCTTCCCACCCAGCTGCTGAGCGGTCAGCTATGTAGGGAGGTGGGGAATTACTGGCCAGGCTATTTCCATGATTAGTGCAACATGAATGACAATGCTTGTGCATGCTGCACAGCAAGTGGTAAGTGGACCCGCCAACTCTGGAGGAAGGGTCCAGTTTCCCCAGGCACATATGGTGCCAATATTAATATTCGTCTTCCCAGGGAGATAAATACAAATATCCAATCTCTCCTTGCAATGTCTTACTTCCAAACCCTGATTTCTACTACCAGGAAAGAGGAGGGGTGTTTTTTGAGATTCTCTGACTTTGGTGTCAAAGTAACTTGGCTGCCTTAGGGTTCTAAATGTCCTTTGGGAAGGGATTTTGGTACTGTATCTCAGGCAGTTATGACCAGAATCCTATTAGTTATACCCACTTACACAACTCCATTGGCACAAGTTAAGAAGCTGAAATAAATATTTCCTACTGCATATCAGTTTCTTGACTCAGTGGGCACAATCCCCATGTTGGCATAACTTTATGATAGCATAACCTGGGTAGGATACCCAAAACATTTAATTTAAGCCCATAAATCACTTTCTAACACCCATTTTAGATTCCAGGACTTTCCAGGACTCCATTTTCTCCTAGGGAAGTTTTTGGCACCCTCAGGATGTGGGAGATGGGAAAGCCTTTAATAGTAAAAGCCAAGGAATGCTACAGGAGGACCATAGTGCCAACAGTCAATGTCGGGGATTGGCGGAAGCCACACAACCTGCCCTATATTCAAATAAAGAGGACCCAGGAGGAGGCCAACTCACCATTCACCTTTTAGCAGACATTCTGACTTACTTCATTTCTTGGTTTGCGAAGTTATTGGTGTGTTTCTGGATTTCTAGTTTTAAAAATGATAATCCCACAAGTGAGGAAGGGAGACAGGGGTGGATTAACCATTAAGCACAATAAGCACGTGCATGGGGCATACGGTGCAATACTGCAAATGGTGCATCCATGAAAAAATTACATACAGGTATATACAATAATAACAAGAGCACTCAGAGAGTGTAGACCTCCGCCAAGAGTCATGAAACTGAAGGGGGGGAAATCCCTTACCAATAAATGAAAGCAGGGGAAAATTTGTATGCAGTCTGTGAAATTTGTATACAATCTGTACTACGTTAGTAGGAAGAAAAAAAAACCAAACACACACATACTCCAAAAAAAACATAACCTCCTCAGAGGAAGTAAAAATAATAATAGTAGTAATCATAGAGTTTAATAATATACATTAATCTTGGGAATACAAGAAAATTAGAATCTGGTATGTTTAGCTGCCCCACGGTCCACAGAGGCTCACATGATCATTCTTGTCTAACTTCTAAATCTTGTTCATGTCAGCTGTCCAGTTCAGTTGTCCACTGAGAATGAGACTGTGCAGGGGCGCTAGTAGCTCACTTAGCATCCCATGTGCCAACAGGCAACAACACACATGCTAACATTGTAACTTTGTGTTAGGATCTGGCCTACATGGACCTGGTAAGTGCAGGATCAGGGCCAGCCTGACGGAGGGATTGCCTGGTATTTGCAGGCTCAGGACCTAGCCTGGGCAGTAGCTACTAGGCCACTCATGAGGGGGCCACCTGGAAGCCTGGAGGGAAGGCCTATTTAAGAAGTAGTTCTCCCTCCCAGACTTTGCCTCAGCAACACAAGTGTCTTCTGCTCTTTTCAGTCTTGCTCTTGATTTCTGCCCTGTTGTTCTTGCCTTGCCTGCTAGACTTATTGTTCCAGCTCTGTTACCCTGTGTGGTGGATTGGGCCCTGATGCCCTTGCCAGGTGGCAAAAGGCCACCTAGTAGTTTCCAGACTCTGACACTTTGTAAGTAAGTTGATTCCTTTTTTTATAACACTAACAACAAATAATGTAATTACTGTTGTGCTTATGAAATGTTGTGAAACTCATGAAAATGGCCGAATGGTGTTGCTTTTGACTTAATCTATTTATTTCTTTTTCTCCCAACTTGAATGATTGTTTATTGTTGTAAATTGTTATATTTTAATTGTTTTATTCCACTTGTTCTGAGCCGCCCAGAGTAGTCAAAGACTAGATGGGCCGGACATAAGTTCAATAAATAAAGGATAGATAGATAGATAGATAGATATGCATGTATTTTCTTTCTTTCTTTCTTTCTTTCTTTTTTTCTTTTCCTTATTGCATGGTGGTGGACTAGTGATGAGAACTGAATGTGTATTTCATTATGTCTATCAATTTACGTGACAGACTCCAAGAAGCAAGATGAAATGTGTTCAGTTCATTTGTGCACGAAAGCAAAAAGTATATATATATTAAAAAAGAAACAAGACAAGGTTTTGGATTTAGAGTCCAAGACTGCAAAGGTGACTGATTTCTTCACACAAGTTCCACAGCATGATATACCTATACCGGGTCAAAACCAATCTCCATCAGAAGTGGACACAAATACAGTAAATACCACTTTGATCATTTCAGAATCAAAATACAGTAGTGCCTTGCATTACAACGTTAATTCGTTCCAGCGAAATCACTGTAGAATGAAAACATCATAATGCGAAATAAAAAAAGCCCATAGAAACGCATTAAAACCCGATTAATGTGTTCCTATGGGCTTGAAACTCACCGTCCACCGAAGATCCTCCATAGTGCGGCCATTTTTGCTGCCTGTGCAGCGAGGAATCCGTCCCAGAAAAGAGCGGGCAGCCATTTTTTTTACCCGGTGGCGATTTTGAAACTGCGGATCAACTGGCCGAAAATCGTCGTTTTGTGAGAATCTGTTCCCAAAGCAGGGAACCGATCATCGCAAAGTGAAATTCCCCCATTGAAGCCATTGTAAAGCTATCGCTTTTGCGATCGCAAAAAAGTTTGTCATGATGTGATTTCGTTGTTAAACAGGGTGCTCGTCTTGCGAGGCACCACTGTATGATGATGTTAGAATCAATGAGGTGTCACAAGCAGGTTCATCTAGCACATGCCTCATTACTGATCTCACTTTGCCTATAAATTCTCTTGATACCTTTAGTGCAAATGTTGAATCAAGTTATTTTACAATACATTCTGGAGCTGAAATAACTGCTGAAAATGGAAGTTTAGTGGACTATGGTGACGATGGTGTGGGGTTGGGGCAACAGTTGGAGAAACAAATTCAAGAAGAGTGTGATTACTGGGAACGTGTCATAGCTGTTATTCTTATGTTAACTGAACATGGCTTGGCTTTTCGAGGAACAGAAGAAAGGTTTGGATCATTGCAAAATGGGAATTTGTTAGGGCTGCTTGAACTTGTGAGCCATTTTGAGGCCACATTTAGAAATATGGAAATTCAGGCAAAGGAAATCCTTTTTACCGTCCAAAACCACCTGTGAGGAACTTATTCAACTAATGGCACAAAAGATCCATGTGCTCATTGTTGATGAAGTAAAATCTTCTTGTTATTTTAGTTTGTCAGTTGATTCTATCACATATCGATCAGTTAAGTATTGTACTTACTTACTTAGAAGATGAACAGCCTACCACATATCGATCAGTTAAGTATTGTACTTAGGTACTTAGAAGATGGACAGCCTACTGAACGCTTTTTAACATTTCTGGAAATGAAAGGCCATGCTGGTGAGGAAACGGCAAATCAGGTGTTGCAGTTTGTAGACTAAACTTTTCAAAATGTAGGGGTCAGTCTTATGACAACACTGCTAACATGTCTGGTGTTATAAGGGGATGCAGCAAAAAAAATTAGAAACAAACAAGCTTGTTATATATGTGCCCTGTGCAGTTCATTCATTAAATCTGGTAGGCAGAAGTGTGGTTGACTGCTGTCAAGAGGAAGTTAATTTCTTCTCTATAGTGCAGTTACTCTATAACTTTTTTTTCAGTGTCAAGCAGCAAGTGGAAAATTCTTAAAGGTTGTATTAGAAATGAAAATATCTTAAAATCCCTCTCTGATACCAAATAGGAGGCACATGCTATGGCAACAGCAGCAACTCTAAAATCTTTCCTTAAAATTTCAGAAGCATTAGAATATATAGCTGAAGACCACTCACAAAAGGGAGTCACTAGAAGAAAAGCGAATAATATTGCAGATAAGATGTAAGAGCAAGAATTTGTTTTTATGTTGAATTTTTGGAATGAAATTTTGCAGAATTTTCACAGAGTAAGCCAAGTTCTAGAAAATGAGGTTGTGAACTTGGAAACATGTTCAGATCAGTATGTATAATTAGCTGACCAACTGTGCACTTCATGAGATGAATCTGAAAGATATGAAGCAGCAGCAAAGGAAATGCTACCAGATGTTGATTATAAGGCAGCTACTGTGCAACTCACAAACACATCAGAAAGAAGGTACCCAATGACAGAGATGCACCTGAAGTATATCTGAATGCCAGAGATGAATTCCGTATCACCACCTTTTACACAATTGTTGACAAATTTGAAACTGAGATGAAAAGAGGAGAAGATATATAAAGAGATAGCAGAGAGATTTTCTTGGTGATGTGCCACATGATGTCACTTCATCATCTACTAAAAAAGATATTCTCAGTGCTGTCAAAAGCTGATTGATACTTACCCAGAGGACTTCAACA